GACCCCAGGAATCTAAAACAACACAATGCCAAAAATCTGAAATGGACAAATATAAAGTTATTCATTGCAGCACTAATTGTAACAGCAAAAGCTTGTTAAAAACTCATGAAAACAAGAAGAAATCCATATTCCTGTGATGGTTAATTCTGGGTGTCAACTGGATCTAGACTCTGCATGTCCAGATAATTGATCAAACATTATTCTGGGGGTTTCTTTAAGGACTTTTTTGGACAGTAGTTTAAACTAGCAGAATGAACAAAGTAGATTACCCTTCCTAAATGTGAGTGGGCCTCATAAAATATGTCAATGGTCTGAAGAAAATAAAAAGGGTAACCCTTCCTTGAATAAACAAGAGAATTTCTCTTGCCTGACTGCCTTCAAACATACATCAGTTTTTTCCTGCCTTCAAGCTTAAGCAGAAACATTGGCTCTTCCTGGGTCCTGACGGTCTTTGGACAGACAGGTATTCCACTATTAGTTCTTATGGACCAATACCTTGCTATCTTACCCTGTGTTTTAATCAGCATTTGTGTCATTGTGACCAAAACACCAAATAAGAACAACTTAGGGGAGTAAAATTTTATTTGGGACTCATGATTTCAGAGCTCTCAGCCCATAGATGGATGACTCCATTTGCTCTAGGCTGAAGAAGAGATAGCACATCACAGGGGGGAGTGGGGTGGGGAGGACCAGTGGAGGAAAGCTGCTCAGCTCATGGTGAGGTCAGGAAGGAAGAGCATAGGGAAAGATACACCTTTCCAGGGAAAGCCCCTAGTGACCCATCTCCTCCAGCTGCACCTCACCTTACTACAGTTACTACCTGGTTCACCCATTCAAACTAGGATAGACTGATTAGGTCACAGCTCTCACAATGCAATCATATTATCTATGAATGTTCCTGCATTAACAAAGGAGCTTTTGGGGGAACACCTCACATCCAAACCCTGCATATCTTGGGACTTGAGAAATTCCACAATTATATGAGCCAATTCTTTATAATGAATCTCTTAATGTGCATGCACACTCGCGAACACATACTCACTCACTCACTCTCTCTCCCCCTCCCTCCCTCCCTCTCTCTGTATGGCTTCTTTTCTCTGGAAACCCCTTACTAACACAATACAAAATGGAGTGATCTCCAGGATACGTTATTGAGTAAAAAAATGGAGAATAACACATAACATGCTACTACTTATAGAGATAAGAAATAGAGGATGTGTGTCTGTGTATGTGTGTGTGTGTGTGAGAAAGAGAGAGAGAGAACTTGTGTTAATGTGAGTTTGCTTAATTTTTGCAAAAACGAAGCACTGGTAGAATAAATAAGAAACAGAAAGCACGGATAAATAAAGAAAATGGAAAGGAGCCTTTTCTTTTTACAAAGTTAGGACTTTTGAATTACATATAGATTTCATGTCCTCTTAAATTAAAAACAAAGAAAAACCTATAAAACTGAAACTGAAGTGAAACAAATTGTGAAGTAAATTGATAACTTAGGTACAGTAAAGAACTGTTTCAAGTAATTTTTAAACATAGTATTTATTTTAAACCTTGGTGGGATGTGTTCCAATGATATCTTAAACTTCATTCATTCATTTTATTTTTAGAAAACTGGTAATGCAATTTTGAAACAATTTCATGTAATTGCAGGATAAAATTAATGTGTTAATGTTATTTAGAACTAAGTCTTTCAGTGCACCAGAAAAGACACAAATACAGAACAAAAGTCAAGTCAAAGCCCTGCTGAATCTAGGGTCTAATGCATGACAGGAAAGCACTCTCCCACTGAGATACATCCCCATCCCTTTTTAAACATTAAGACAGGGTCTTGCTAAATTGCCCAGGCTGGCATCCTGCCTCAGTCTTCTGAGTAGCTGGATTATAGGTATATATCACTGTGCCTGATATTTTTTCTGTTTTTTAATTACTTCACAGTACATATTAAATTTTATTATTCTTACAAAGGAAATCCTATATTGAATTCTTCCAGCTAAATAGTCAACAAAATCTTAGCAGGGAAATGTCAATGAGGCTTAGCTCACATACCAAATATCAATCAAATTTTAAGTATAACTATAAATACACAAATATTCTGTGTACACTAAGTTTTAAGCAGACTTTTGTTCAAAGTCTGCTTTTTTAAAAACCTACTTTAGCTCTTGAAGTGAAACTATTCTCTTAGAATTATCGACAAAGAAAGGAATTGCATATAATTCAAGTTAAAATTATACAATTCAAATTTCAAAATTCAATATTGCTTCAAAGTCTTTTTGCTCAAAGTAGCTTTGGATTTAAACTGAACTTATTATAATTTGTCTTAAGATATTTTCCTACTGTGTGTGTGTGCTTATGTGTGTATGCATACACATATGTATTCTATAATTTGTAATTTTTTTTCTAAATCCAGTTGTGCCTAATACATTGCACTTGAGAGTTACATCTCTTTTTGTTTCTATTGTCCAAAACTCTTGTTTTTATTTTTGTTTTGTTTGGCACTAGGGATTTAACCAAGGGAGCACTTTACCACTGATCTACAACCCAAACCCTTTTTAAAAATTTTTTATTTTGAGAAAGGATCTCGCTAAGTTACTTAGGGTCTTGCTAAATTGCTGAGGCTTGCTTTTAACTTGCAATTCTCCTGTCTCAGCCTCCCAAGTCACTGGGATTACAGGCATGTTCCACTGAACCTGGTTCATAACACTCTTTGGACAAATATAAGTTCTGCAGAAGATACCATATTCTAAATATGTAATATGCATACTTATTAACATATCTTGTTCCTTTTTCAGCAGTTTTATCTGAATTTTTTTTTCCAGTTTGCCCTAAAAGTGACCTGTTTCAGAACACATGCAGATATAATAATTCTTGATAAAACAAATCCAAGGGAGGGGGAAAAGAGGGAAGTATAATTCATTATACAAGTAAAAGATAACAATGAATGCTCCTATGAGACTACCATGTATCAAAGTCCATTTAAGAAATAAAGTCTGAGGGCTTGCCTGCTATATCAGAATACTAATTTAAAAGAAATATTGTTAAAAGCCAAAAATGATGGACTTAGACAGTAACAGTGTTGATTTCTTGACAGGATTACATTATTTTTTTTCTGTTTCAAGGGAAATTCTTGGCTTTATAGTACACCTTATTTTGTTTCTTAGCTTGATGAAGAAAATGTATAATGTGTAGAACAGATTTATAACTATTTTCTCTCTATAACCAAGCAAATAAAATCATATAATTTCAAGCATCCCATCTCCTGTTTTTTGGCTCCTTCCTTAGTTCAATTCACAGTTCTCTGACTCCACAACCCACCATTATCACCTTGTCACTGCTCTCACTCACTTCATATTTTTAACTCCTTTCTTACCTGATCATCAGAATCACCTCAGTGTATACACCATCATCTCCCTTGCCCCTCTTGAGTCAGTATACTTATTTGAACATTAATTCTAATACACTGTGCTATCAATTCACTATCTCATTTTCCAAGAAAACTGTTCAACTCTAACTTGATTATTGCCTTGATTAGTGCAGCAATCTTCTAACTGGTTGCCTTACACCTTTACCATTCCTATCCAATAATCTTAACACAGAAATTAATTCTTACAATTTTTTGACACACTGTAAAAAGTTAATAAAATGTCTTTTCTCTTGTCAAAACATCCAATGACTTCGTTTCACTCAGAATAAAAGCCAGTATTTTCACAATAGTCTACAAAATCAAGCTGTTTATTATCTTATTTTCTACTACCATCACCACCCCCCAGTGCCCCCCCATTCTCCTCTAGCCACATTAGTGTCTGTGCTGTTTGTGAAATATGCCAGCATCTTTATGTCTCAAGGACTTTGGAAGTGTTAGGGCTGATTTTCTCTCTGACCTCTTCCATAGCTTTTGCATATATCATGTCAGTGAGATCTTTTCTCTAGATCCTACTTAAAACTGTAGTTTTTTCTCCCTTGTTTTATTTTTCTCACAGAACTTACTATTTTCTGACCTATTGTATATTTAATTAATGGGTTTTTTTCTTGACTCTCACCCCTACTAGCATGTAAGCGCCATGAGGGCAAGGATTTTATGTATTCAGTTGATTTTGTACTCTCAGAACCTATAATGTGACTGGTAGACAGTTGCTAAATATTTATTAAATAAACAAATGAAAAAATTTCTATATTTTGAATAAATGAAATATTATTTCATAGTTTTAAAATAAGATTAAAGCTTTTTAAATAAAAAATAATTGAAAGGAAATTTAAATTGGAAGCCATCATAAATTTATTATTCATTAAAAAGGATGATATTTTATTTCCTGGGAATTCATTTTTAAATTCAGCCAGTATATAATCTTTTCTTATAATTGTGCTACATTAAAAGAATGTGAGCAGTTCATTTTCTGATTTTTTTTAACAGTAGAATTTACATTTTAAGAAAACAAACATCCAAAGTCTATATAAATGCTGGAATACACGGAATTATACAACAAAAATTCAGAATTCTAAAATTTTTGGTATGTTTTTAAATATTAAAATATTCACTTTTACTGAATCCAAATATAGTTATCTAAAGAAATTTCTATTCTATAACTTATATGCATGAGTGAAGAATTAAGTCCTTTCTTTTCTATTTTAAAATGTTTAAATCTTATTAAAATTATTAAATGTCTTATTAAATTTTCCATCTTAATGTTCAAATGTTACCATATTTAAAAATCATATTTCAAAAATTTAAACAGAAAAATAAATGTTATGTCAAAGAAAACATTTTCACTGAAAAAAAGAAATAAACCTAGGAAAAGTAAAGCAAGTGAAAAAAAAGGTCGTTTAAATGACAACATCTTTTTTTGTTGTTCATTCCACATTTTTTATTGGTGCATATAGTGTATGCCTGTTTTATAGTATTTCTAATTTTCCATTTTGGTACAATAAATTATACATAGCATCACTTAGAGTAAAAAATTAAAAGAATACATCAGAAATCAAAAATATTAGTTCATAAGTACACTCACCTACAACACCATTCAATGCGACCTTCACCTTCACAGGTTTTTGCCCAATGATTATCTGCCAAATTTTTCATTGCAACAGCATATTCACAAAGTGTTTCTTCATCTTCACAGTGTTCTCGCCAGATCTTATCAAAATCTCCCACTAAAAACAAAGGAAAAATACTAAATGAATTAATCTTGCTTAAACACGTATAATCTAATTTCACTAAAATCTAAAATAGTTTTAAACATATTTTAAAAGTTCCTTTGTGTAAATAGAATCATCATTTGTATTATGATGATTTGATAATTTTACCATTTTGAATGGATGGATTTGTAAATCAAACATAATAAAATTTATATCAATATATGAGTTATTGGTTCATAAACTAAAGATACATTGATAGTGGACAATAGGTGAATGGGCAGTCAAACATTATTTTTTCTATGACCTTGCAGGAACAGGGCAGAAACACTTAAAATTGTTTCTCTATATGCTTATCAGTTCCTTGTATTATAAAGGTTAGATGACAATATAAATTAACAAACAAGTAAATATTTTTATTCACACAGCTGGACTTGCTCTTAGACTTACTGTAAAGAATTATAATCCTAAGGCAAAAATATTGCTTAGAAGACAGTATTTTAGAAGTTTCTCCAAAGTTTTTAGCTGTTACAAGTGTTCTAAATAAAAACTATAAGCTGATTACATTACCTATTCAGCTACCACTGTTTTAGAAAATTAAATCAGTCATTACATTTAATATAAGATTTGAAACATCACAATGAAGACTGATAAAGAACGGTTGGGGAATGGTTTGTCCAAAGAATATTAACGCAGCTTTAAAGGTAAAGAATAAACAAAAGTTATCAGTGTAGATTCACTCAATGTCTTCAGACACAGACATGTCTTGCCAGAACAAACTGAAAAAAAATGTAAAGATATGCTGGGTGAGAGGTGGAGCACACCTGTAATCTCGGTGACTCAGGAGGCTGAGAGAGGAGGACTACAGGTTTGAGACCAGCCTCAGCAAATCAGTGAGACCCTAAGCAGCCTACTAAGACCCTCTCAACATAAATAGATAGATAGATAGATAGACAGATAGATAGATAGATAGATAAAAAGAGCTGGGTATGTGGTTCAGTGGAAAAGAACCTCCAGGTCCAGTACCAAAACAAAAAAGAACAGAACTAAATGGAGAGATGGTCATTATGCCAGAGCTCTTTCTCCAAGCAAAATTATTGAATTTCAGCTTAAACAGTTTTTTTTTAAATAGAAAATGAATTACAGTAACAATTGACACATCAAAACTAATTTGAAAAACTTCCAATTAATCCCATTACCTGGCTATTTTAGGCTCTCGGCCTAATAAGTTCTGAGTTGAAAATCAACTATTAGCCTTCTAGTTTGACCAAGTCAAGAAAGAGAAGTATGGGTACAAACACTCCCTCATATACACATTACTCAATTAAAATGATTGTGGTACCAGTCTCAGCCTAAATTCTATGTTTAAACCTCAAATAGTGTATATTATTCATTTTTATACTAATATTTCCATTAATCATTAATATTTGTATAATGATAGGGCTCTCAATTTTTTTATACCATACACTGGCATTATCTGTCAACTAAAAGCAAGCAAATTTTTTTTTTCTAAATTCTCAAAAATACCTCAATTTTAGCAACATCTTTGAGATGTAGCTGTCAAATCTCTGGAGAGGTACAGGATGTCCTCAAACAATGTTTTGATTAATGGTTATTTAATAAACCTATGATAATTCATAACACTATTCTTGACTTTATCCATCAGATTTGATATGGTTCAATGAGGTACAGTATAATTTGAAAGGCATGTTATGTTTTGTTAAGATCAGTATCAACTCTAAAAGGCCCTTTGTTGAACTTTTTTTTACAGCCCTATATAATGTTATATGTACATTATATATAAACAAAAGTTATATGATCAAATACATTTCAATATGTTTAACACAAATTGATTTTCTTTCTGATAGACTTACTTTAGATTCTATAGAAAATACAACTGAAGACAAAGACTTGATTAAAAGTAGTTATATCTGGGAGATAACTCTAAGCAACAGGAGTGAGAAAGTACATAGAAAGACCAGAAGAGAGATAAAATTAACAGCACAAGGGTACATTACTGAAGTTGCTGCTGTGAATGACTAAGAAGCATACATAATGCTTCTGGGACTGTGCACCTAAAAGATGGGAAGTTAAAGTATTTAATTACCAGTTCCTATACATGTGAACCAATGATTGTTAACAACATTCAAGTCTGCACATAGGTACTGAATAAGGGGACTCATTGGCTTCAGCAGTGTTAGAGAAAGGAAGAACAGAAAAGACAGACACTTTTAATCTGGAACACTATTAGGGCTAGTGACTCAGTTCAGTGTCTGTCTACCACAGCTGAGGATCAAGGATACATGGGGTATCAAAAGGCACTACAAATTTCTAGAGTTCTTGCCATTCTACTGCATATGGTATATTGAAACTCAATTTACTCTATAATTACCAACTGGCTAAAAGATACAAAAACAATTGTAAATATACAGAAACTACTGCTTTATAGCTTTTTGAACAACCTCTGTCTTTTTCCCACTCCACAAAACTTTTCCATTCCACAAAACTGGAGTTTTAAGACTTACTGCTGGCTCCTTTAATGTTTTAAGGAAGAATTCAAAATTTGTAGGCTTATTCAGTTGAAACTAATTATATACAACTTCAATTTTAAATGTTTTCATTAACAGTAGAGACTCTGCACAATGTGTGCTGACCCTGAAAATTGTTGTGATTGTAAATGTACACTTAAATATATAATTGAGAACAAAGCAATTTAATACATTTGTATTCTTTTCAATAGGCTGCTCAAAAAAATACTCTATTAAGCACTAAAGAGAATAATATAATGAGCAGGCACTAGCAATCAAAGTAACGGGAAAAACAAGTAAATAAAATATAGTAGATAATATAATAAAAGAGACACAAACTTAATGTTTCTTGTGTCCCATATGACATCCAGGACACAGAACTTTGAATTCAAGTATTTATTCAACAAAAATGTATCAAACCCTAGCTACTAGGTATGCATTATGTTACATGTCTGGCAGTTATAGAATTGACCAAGAATAGTTATAAGTATGCCCCTTAGTTATAAGAAAAATCTATTTCTGGAATACCTAGGAAGCTTAGTGAGGTATAATTGTGAATAAATGAAAACTTTAAAACAAAACAACATGGGAAAAATTAAGTTTTTCAAAAAGGCTATTAGTTTTTTACAATATTCAAAATAATGTATTCAACCTTTAAGCAACGTAATTTCAAAATAGTCTATGATTTGGGTTCTAAACACCAAAAAAGTTAATGGTTAAAGAGAGCCCAGTATGTATAGGAAATCTCTCTGCTAACTTAGCCAAATATGTGTGGTGTGTGTGTGTGTGTGTGTGTGTGTGTGTGTGTATGTAAGATTCTCTCACTTAAAATGAAAATACTTTTCATTATCAGAAAGAAAATGAGGAACTAGAGCTTCCTGAGGTCTGCTCAAAGGTCTAGTGAATGCAGAACAAGTAATATTTTAAGTATTCAAGTTATAACCCTAGTTCTCAACAAATTAATAATTAGTCATTCTTTAACATGATGACACTTGTGAATAACTCAAAATCATGACCCCCCCCCATTTTTTACCCATTTTTTTTTAGCAGGCATCATTGAAAAAAATAAATGTGTCTTAGAACAGCTGAGATCAGGCACCTTCAGGCTGAAGGGTATTTATATATTCATATTACATATTTCTACCTTTTTCAAATATAAAGACATTTATTCTCTCAATATATGGCTTCAATATTTATTTTTAATATCAGGTTTTAATTAACAGAAATACTTAATTTTAATACAATCCAATTTCACAAGAGAGAGAATAAGAATGATCTCCAACAAGTATATACATTTTACTTTTCCCAACTACAGAGAATTAAAAAATTACTTAGAAAGCACAATTTTAAAAAATATGTTCTGCAACCTAAATTAAAAGTTAATAAACACTCCACAGCCAAACTAGAAGAATAAATTTAGAGAAGGAATCAGCAATCACTTGTTCAAATACACAGTTTTAAAACTAACTTAAAACTCTGCCCAGTCTAAAAGATAAAGTTGTCTAATTGTCTTCAAAATTCTTGAACAAAAGCCACATTAACATGACTTATATTTATTGTATTTTCGATATATTTACATTTTGCAACACTTATTTTAAAAAAATCTAACTCATACTTTTAAAAAGGAGTGATGCCAACTTGCCAACTTTCTAAGTTCAATCTGGAAACCAATGAACCGAATTATTCTGAATCCTGGTCCTACATCAAGATAATACCATAATTACTGACTAAACTCACTTTCACCACATTATATGTTCACAACAGAATAAAGAGCTACTGCCTATAAAAAGACAGTGACAACTGTCTTTTTATAGGCAGTAGGAAAAAAGAAATAGTACACTCATTAATCTGAAGTTAATTTTTAATAATTTTATGATTATTTATTATGACTTTGTAACTATCTTTGTAAAAAATCAAATATAATGAAACATGAAGCAATTTTTGCCCTTAATACATTCAAGAACATTTCTATAAAAGTTCTTAAATCACATTAACCATAGAAACTCCTTGATAAACTAATCTTCCCATATGAATTAACCCCTCTCCTGCCATCTGGTATAGCAAATTCTTTTTTCCTTTGAAACGTAACTGAATTTTTTTTTGGAGAGGTTTTATCTGCCAGTTGATCATCTTATAACTCCCTCATATATGCAACTACCATTCTTACAATACTTTGTTGTTTATATATATATATATATATATACACACACATACATATATATATATATATATATATATATATATATATATATTCTATTAAAATCAGGAGTGATTTTCCCATTAGAATACATAAATTAAAAAGCAAAGACTACTTTTGACTTATATATTTTGTAAACTACAGAACTTAATCATGGTATCAAGCTGATGCAAAAAATATTTAAATTTTTACCAAACTTGAAATTTGTACTAAACACCAAAATTAAAAACAAGTCAAATTTAGTTGTTAATTTAAAAGTCAGCAGCAGATAGCTGTCAATTGTGGAGAGCCAT